GCTATGCTACTTCAAGAGATGGCAGATGAAGCTGGCCTTTATCTCAATCTAGAACTACCACAAGGACAAACAGGATCTGTTGGCACAAGTGTTGCATCAACAGAACAGGATGAATTATCACAGAGACTTGCTTGTCTTCATGATCAAGTGTAATTCAAAGAACTGGTGCTTCGGTTGCTACACTTGCTTATGAAATGTTCTTTGTGTATCTAGATAAATTGCATTCCAGTTAACACTAAAAACACTATATATGCAGAATGCTTAAACATTATTTGTACATAATGTGTTCTTTTGCCTCTAATACATTAAGAAATTCCAGGAAATTTCCACTTTGACAGATTTTATAGATGTGTATACTACGTATAAAACTGCAAGGGACATAGTTTTATAGATGTCTTTGATAGAGCTAGATTTAACTTCTTTATTAAACATCTCCCTCAGAAGTCAGTCAAAAATTGAACACCGAGTGCTCGCTTCGGCAGCACATATACTAAAATTGGAACGATACAGAGAAGATTAGCATGGCCCCTGCGCAAGGATGACACGCAAATTCGTGAAGCGTTCCATATTTTTATTTTGTGTTGAATAAACTTGTAGCCAGAAAAAAAAAATTGAACACCGAAGTACTAGAGAGTAAAGTATTTTATGCAGAATAAAGTATACAATAAAGATTTTTTTCTAATTCAAAGTAATTTTTAATCTCTACAGTGACATGTGATAATAATAACAGGGAAAATAATAGCAAGAAAGCATGTTTACATAGCCAAAAACACTCATTTGGTATCAAACAATAGACAATGGCATTTTGTGTATTTCATGTTAATTTTTGTTATCTAGACAGAAATGTAGTTGACTTGTAATCTGTTCTCATCAGCTTTTAAATTTAAATTTTAATTTATTCTTATTTTAACCCAGTAATTTAATGACTATTATTTGAAGCCCTGTAGTTTTAAAATGTTTCATTGATAATTTTCTGTATAACCAGAAAAATTCAGTAACATTAAAATTGCCCATTTTTAAATGTTCTCTCAACTAGATATAAATGTCACTAAAACTATTAGAAAAATGTTACTATTCATACTTTGAAATTAAATTCTGAAACACACCAAAAGAAATACTACATTGTCTTTTATTTCATAACTTTTACATTTTATATCTACTCTGCACTCATAGTTTATTTATATTTTACTGTACCTGTATGTTATTCTTAGGTTTTTAAATGGTCTTTGGGAAAAAGCAACATGATATTGGCCTAACTTCATATTTATTTATAGAATGATTAGAGTATATTGTTTTTTGGTTTTTGGTTTTGGGGGCTTTTTTTGTCTGGTGAGAACAAGGAAAGTTTATTGAGAAAAGAGCACCCAGAGGTCTGAAACTGGAGGTGCTTCAGCCCATCCTACTGAGGAGATGTGACATATTTATAAAAGGGGGTAGAGTCACGAAAATGGCAGGTACTTTGATTAGCTTACCTTGTGGGCCCATCTATGGGTGCTGGCTTCTAGTAAGAGAGGGCTCTGGTTGAAGGGTCCTGACCAAAGACTGTTGTAACTTCTGGAGCTGCTTCTTGTTGAGAAGGGGCATTGTAGAGTGTATTGGTTTAATGGGTTCCCATAGTAGAGGAATCAAATGATATCATAGGTATGAAAATACTTTGGGGACCAGGAGTTAGCGTAATGGCTATGTCACTGGACTCCCATGTAGTCTACCGCAGTTCAAGTCCCGGACCCGGTGGCTTAAACTCACGCTGGGCACATGTGCGTACGTGCCCAAGATCCTGAGAGGAGAATGGAGGAGAAGGGATTGCAGTGTGGCCATTCCCCCTAGGGGGTGATTTCTCGCTTTCTGTCTCTGTCTCTCTCTGTCTGGCGAGCGCACGTGCCCTGTGGCAAAAACCTCTCAACAAAAAAAAAGAAAATACTTTGAAAAGGGTAATAAACACACACATAAAACTATATTGCGACTACATTATTCTTTTTAATATCACAACAAAAGAAAATGAAAAAATATTTTATGATTAATTTTGATCACTGTGTCACATAAGAGGAGTTAATATGTGAAGATATGAGAACCTTCCCAGAGCTTCCTCAATGTGGTAACTGCTTAACCCAGTGCTTCTCAAACTTTAATGTGCATAGGAGTCACCTGGGGATCCTGTTCACAGGAAAATTCCGGTTCAGGTGGGCCCAAGAGTTTGAATTTCTTTTTTTTTTCTTTTTTTGAGAGTTATTTTCCTTTAGGGCATGTGCACTCACCAAAAAGATAGAGAGAAACAGAGAGAGAGAAAGTGAGAAATCACCCTCCAGGGCAGATGGCCACGCCACAATCCCTTCTCCTCCATTCTCCTCTTGGGATCTTGGGCATGCATGCACACAAGCCCGGCGTGAGTTTAAGCCACCGGGTCCTGGACTTGAATCGTGGTTGAACTACATGGGAGTCAAGTGACATAGCCATTATGCTAACTGCTGGTCACAAGAGTTTGAATTTCTGGCAAGCTCCCAGATGGTGCTGATGCTGCTGATCTATGGACCACACTGTGATTGGCAAGGAAGCATTTTGGCTCTGCCTTTTAAATTCAATCACTAATCCTATTATTAAGAGCAAATGTGTGGTTACAAGAAAGCATAGGAGGGGACTTAAAAACATTTGTGGAAAATGGAATTAAAGTATGGCTTTATATTGGTGCAAAATATTTATGAAATCCATACAGTTTTTTCATAATATACATTTTTCATGAACTTTTCAGAGACCCATTGTGTAGTCAATAAGTGGAGACATTATCCCCTTTCCACAAGTAACAGAACTGGCAGTGGTTAGATTTTCTTCTCCCTGCCGTAAAAAATCAGAAAGAATGAAAAGAGAACTACAAGGGCACTTCAACAAGTTGGGAAATGTAATTAAATTATGAGAGGGTTTTGGTACAAAAAATCTTGATATTCATGCACTTTTTTATTTACAATATGCATTTTCCATGAGCTTTTCAAAGACCCTTTATAGGCCTTTCCCCATCCAAAAGGAATGTGTTCTTATGACTACTGAGGTTGTTTGGATACAACCTTTTTTCCTGTTCATTAGGGAGCTCATATCAGGTGAGCAGGGAGGGGAGAGAAGAGGGCAAATGGGAGTAAGGGTAGGGAAGAATTGGAGGTGGGTATGGCTGAAGCAGCAAAAATGATGAAGATTATCCTAGACCAGGAAAGGAATTAGAGGGCTTCAGTTTCCTCAAGAGGTAGACATACAAGTGGTAATCAATGTGGACCAAAGACTGGAGAAACTCCTCCAGTTTTTTTCTTTTAATTGCCAGAGGGTGTATGCACTTGCCTGGGAGAAAGAAAGAGAGGGCAAGTACAGACCAATGGGGCATGGTCATGCCAAACTCTCTACTCCTTCATTTCTCCATCCTTTTAGGATTTTGGACACACAAACACACACACACACACACACACACACACACACACACACACACACCCAGCATGTTTTTCAAGCCATGTGGACCAGGATTCAAACTATAGTCAGCCATAAGGGATATAGCTCCCTTAACCATTGTGTTACAAGGCCAACTCTCGACATTTTTTTTTTAATGTAAGAATACTAGCATCTAGTAGGTGAGGCTAGAGGACTCAATAATGACTGATATCAAATTTTCCACCAATCTAGTAGAATGGGGCCTCATAATCAAATTATTGTTTGATTTAAAGAAAAGCAATGTGATAGTTCTTGCATGTCCCATGTAGTAGTTACAAATTATTTCCTGCTACAATGTAATATTTAACCTACAAACACATAATGAGTCACAATTTCCCACACAAATGCCCTTGGATTCTTTCACTATCAAAAGTTCTGTTCAAAACATGCCCACCTCTCTATACATGGGAGCCACATATGTTATAGAGAAATCCAGCTAGAGCCCACTGAAGTAAACATCTGTTTACCCCAACTGATACAAATTTTTCCCTTCAGGGTCTTTTTCTCAACAAACTCCTACCAGCATCTTAGGGATAAGGGGAAAACTGGTAAAGGAAGCTAGCAACAAAACACAAAGCCTTCCTGGAAACAAAATCAGAAAAAGCTAGTGTTGGGACCATACTACTCCCATGATAAGATAATCTCTAGATCTCTGTGGTTCTTCTTGCTGCAAGAATTTGGAATACTTTTCTTGTAGATAATTCTTTCCAACAAGAATTTGTAGCACTTGACAGCTGGAGTCTACCACACATCTTAAGATGGCCACCAAAACCTTGTCTGTCTTTAAAGTCAATTTTGTCCCAGCTAGGTGGTAGTTTCTGCAAGTATCATTGCTCTTCTATTGTAGTTCATCAGGGCTTCTTCCCACTAAGTAAATTGATAAATTCAAGCTAACTCTTCTCTGTGACTTAAACACAGGAAAAGTTGACCTCTGGAATTTTATGACCTTAAGGAATATAACAGAAACCTAATTTTTAATTTATATTATTATTATTGTTGCTTTTGCTGATCTCTGTACATGGTGTTTCTGTTTTTCCAGGTTCTAAGGAGTACAGTTTAATACATCTAGGCAGCATCTGGTTTGGATAAACCAACTGAGCAAAGTTCTCAAGCACACATAAAGGTCCTCCTGATTTCCAAACATGCAGGTGACTGGTGTCACAAGTCCTCCCCTTAATAAAACAGGTGTGCCTCCAGATAGCTAATCCCCTAATAGTGGGATCCTGTTCCTGGAGCTTTCTCAAGCAGCTCTCTTTACTATTCCAGTTATCTGATGGACATTATCCAAACGGTCCTGGTACTTACAGTCATAAGCAACCCATCCCCTTTTCCCTGCAAAACAGGGACATTTAGTAGCACTAGGCCTTTGCAAGT